TAGTGGCTAGATATAAAATATAGTTTTTAGAACTAATGGAATTTGGTTCAGTGATAGCAAGAGGAAATAAAACTATGAAATATTGATGATTTCAAAGAGCTGATGGACTCATGGATTTGTCCTGTCAATGCAAGGTCTACATCTGACACCAGCATCCTTAGGATTTTGATGTGTGTGGCATTTAGACTCAGAAATTATGTGTGGGAAAGCCTTTAAAATATAAACATTCAAACCATCATGAGAAGTTCCTCAAGATAAAAGATAGTATGTGTCAGAGAGTAATTACATAAACAGGTTTGTAAATTGTTGGGGATATTGGCAAGCAATTCTAATCTTCAGAGCAAAGTTCACCATACTGAACTTGTGTCTCTTGAGGTTATCATCTGCTCTGCATGACATGTAACTATTAGGTGTAGCATATACTGTAACTCCACAAAATCTTGTAAATAAATGTTCTTCATCAGTGAAACCTTATTCAGATTAATCATTATATCTAATTAATTACTATACTTCATCTGTTCTATGGTTTATTGTCCTAAGATAAACTCACAAATAGTTGAGTTTGGCCATCTTCCTTTACTCTGACCTATAATTAATTTGATAGCTTTATGTGAGGATGTTTTTCAAAGGCCAGGATGGCAGGTGTCCAATACAATAATTTAGATACTCTAAGGGACTCTGAATTTAGAACTGGAAGAGAAAGACTCCACTCGTAGAAATTTGCTGTAGCAGTTCCTCACCAGTCAGATTGCCAATCACATCTCATTAGTTTTTTTTCTAATTAAACTGGGTGTATAATTATATAATATATAGGTATAGATCATGTTTTTTGAAGTACTGAAACATTATATTTATTTCCAAGCACCTAAACACATTAACTTATTGAATTTAAGAAACATAAAGCTCTATAGCTGTAATAATTTAAGCTTGCCAACATGAACCCATTTTTCAAAGAATAAAAATAACTATCAAGGAATATTATTATTCCTTAAATATTTTTCTTTTATCAATCAGATCTTAATTCTGAACCAAACACCAAACAAAACAAATAGGCTGAAGAAATAAATGACTGTCTTTTGTCTAGTTTTCTTCATTCTCTCTCTGGCTATCCTTAAGAGCAAATAGTATAAAGCAAGACAAAATTAAATATGAATGGGTAGTGAAGGGTGTGATCAAAGTTTCAAGTCTATAGTCACAACATCAATTTCTACAGTATCCACTCAGGGTGATTCCTTCAGCAGGTGAATGTTCTAACTTGACAATGGCTCATAAAATTAATTTTTGTCAATGGAAACCCTGCCATAAGACGAAACTGAGTGGCCTTCAGATAAATGTCAATATTCACTTATTTGTATTGGGAACACTATCAAAGGCAAAAAGAAAAAACCTTTAAATATTTCTGACTTTAACATTTTAAAAGTGCTTGTGTGGCAGAGCCTTCATACTTATTAATACTCAGAATTTTATAAAGAACTGATGAGATTTTGAGTAGATAGATTGCACTTTCTACTACACTTACTTTAAGAATACGAGAACAATTTTCTAAATGAATAGAGTGACACATGATTTGATGAATAAGGTGGACTTAAAGGGAGTCTTAGCATTGAGACAAGCAAGGAACTTTGCTACAGAAATCTCTGAAAACAAACAAACAGTCATTAAGGAAACCTCCAAACACATTATTCTCCATAGGCAAGAGGAAGTACAACTTGCAACTTGATTTTTTTTTAAGGAAATGTTTAGGGTCTGAAAAGATAGCTCAGTCCAGAAAGTGCTTAACATAAGAGCACAAAAACCTGAACTCTAACTTCTAAACTCATGTGGAGAAGCGAGGCATGGTGACCTTCATGTGTAATCCTAGTGGAGGAAAAGCAGAGACCAGTGGCCAGCTAGGGTTCATTGGCAAGCTAGTCTGGCCTACTTGGTGAGTTCCAAGCTAGGAAGAGACTGCCTAAAACAGAAAATTAAAACTAAAAATGAAATTTGAGGTAGATAGTCCTGAGAGATGACACCCAAGGTTGTCCTCAAGTCTTTATTTGTTTCCACATATGTAGTCTTGTACACACAACACCACACACACACACACACACACACACACACACACACACACACACACACACAAATGTTTAGAAGTGAATGTGTTTGAAGTGGAACTGTGATCTCTATGAACTATGCATCACTTCATATAATCTAAAAAAAATCACTTTAATTGACCCTAATATTATTTAATCAAACTAGAGATACAGACGTACTTTATTTTCTACTCAAGTTATGATACCCTAAAGTGGGCATGAACCTTTTTTTTTTTTAATGAGATGAAATTGGAATGTTTTCATGATGAATTTGTCCCATCTGCTTGCTTTAAAACCAATGATGATGAGATTCTTCCTATTTCTTTATTGAAATGAATCATGTAGCCAAATTGACCTCAAATTCCTATACAGTTGATTAGCTTTGCATTAAGATCTTTGCCCCTCCAACACTCAAATAGTGTAATTACAAGAAGGTGCCCTAAGATGGGGTTTTCTGTTTTTTTATATATGGTCATTGGACATGTAAATCTCTAATTTTTAATTAGACTTAGATTTCTAGAAGTGCTGTGATTCTAATACAAATATTTTCTACACACCTGACACCCAGTTCCACTATTAAGCTTTGTGGTCCTATTGTTTATTTGTTAGAACTCATGAATCATTGGCTATAAACACCACTAAGTTCATACTAAGTTAACCCATAACTTTTCAGTTTGTAACATCCCCTCCTGTGTTCTGTCTGAGAACTGCACTCAGGGTCCATCTTATGTAGCAATCATGCCACATTACTTGAGTGTTACAGCTTCTCAGAACATTCTTATTTTTGATAGGCTCAATGGTTCTGAGGAACATTAGTCAGATATTTTATAAAATATCATCAGCTGGAACTTCTCTTTCGTTATTTTTTTTATCAGAATTGATGCATATTTTTAAGCGGAAGTGAGGGAAGCTCTGAGTAGGAGGTGTTTCCAGGAAAGAATACTCTCTCATTTTTCATGTCATGAGCTGCCTGAGTGGTGAGTTTGGCGTAGAAAACCTTACGGTACGGTTGATGCTCACAGTAGTGTAACAGGGTAGAAGTCATCAGCCTGATAAATTAAGGATGCATAACTGCCCATTTCTTACCCTGTCCTTTGTCAGGACTGTATTTCTTTAGTCAGTGTTTCCTAAATATCTATTCATTACACTTGTGAAATAAGAAAGATGCATATGCAGAAGCACAGCTGCCAGCAAAGATTAATTATCCAATATGATAAACTAATAGTAAAATTTTAAAATCCATTATCTTATAATCTGATAATTACTTCCTTTCCATTTTTTCAATTGGGCATTATGTGTATTGTTAACTAAAAAGTATGCAAGTTTGTAGAATAATATGGTAAATATTGAATCTTAACTATTGTAGGTTTTTTTTCTTTTTTCTTTTTCTTCTTTCTTTCTTTCTTTCTTTCTTTCTTTCTTTCTTTCTTTCTTTCTTTCTTTCTTTCTTTCTTTCTTTCTTTTTTTTTGAGACAAGGTTTCTCTGTGTAGTTTTAGTGCCTGTCCTGGATCTTGCTTTGTAGACCAGGTTGGCCTCAAACTCACAGAGATCTGCCTGGCTCTGCCTCTTGAGTGCTGGGATTAAAGGTGTGCACCACCACCACCCAGCCATGTTGTAGAGTTTAAAAGAGGCAAGAAGAACTGTGCTGTCTTTCAGTTCTGGTTATGATTTTTTTTCAGGGCAGAGGAACCCTTGCAAAATACATTAACTTAAGCATATGCATTTTCTCATTTTTAAGCATTGTCATTAATTTTTACTTCATACAGTTTAAGTGGAGTACGCATATAAATATATAGAATGGCATATGGTAAAGGATTATGTATCAAAGGCAACATCATATGCCACAGCAGGAATTACTAATTATTATAAATGTTCTCTTTGATCAGGCAGTATTTCTCTAAATCCTATACTAGTGGTATTTTATCTAACATCTTCACTCAGAGGGTTAAAAAGGAAGAGCAGTGAGAAAAGTGTGATTGACTTTTCCACTTTGCTTATCATTCTATAAGAAAGATGATTTTATATCTATTGTCTTAGACATGTATGAATAACCTTTGCATAGAAGCTTACCGTGCACACAATTATCCCTCTTCTTATATTTGTTAAAATGTATCCTCCATTGGCGTAAGTACATAGGGTCATAGACTAAGCTAAAATACATTTAAATCACGGGAATGCTTTAGAATCTTGAGTAAACAGGCATGAGAGGTGGTAAGACTCCCAGTCAAAAATCCAAAGAAAATTTTCACCCTTTACAATATTAACCCGGGAGAATTTCAAAGTAATTATAGTTATACAGTATGCTCTAAAACAGAGCTTATGGAGTTATGATTTAATAAGCACTTTGGTATTTTCTATGGCTTTGATGGTGAGTAGCATCATTGCCCTCTGTGCTTGCATGAGGTCTGATGAATTTTAACCTTTTTTTAAGCAATAGATTTGTACACATCTTATAGTAGTAAATGATCAAAGAGGTTATCAAACACATTTATTGTGTGATTTTATTATGTACCTAGTGTCTCCTTATATTTGTTTTACTATTTCTAGGCTGCATGTTTTACCTGAAAGCTGGTATAAATTATCAGAGAACTCCAGAAATTTCAAGTAAATAGAACCAGCAGCTTGATATTCAAGAGTCAGCTGTATTTAGGTGGGGAGACTTTGGGTTTTTTAACGTGGTTCTCATGCATCCAGAATATACTTCATTTCCCATTCAGGTAGATGTGAACATGCACAAATCACTAAGAGGAGAGTTTTTTTCTTTGGTTTTATCTTTTCTTTCTTTTTCAGACTTACTATTTTAGCATGGTGAAAATGCCTTGACTGAAAGGAAAATAATTCTGTTTTGAAAGATCTGATGACAGCACATACAATAATACATTTTAAACTGAGAATGTGTCTAAGATGAGTTTCTTGTCCTTGTGCAGACTCTTGGCAATCGGCTTCTGAAGGAATACAGGAAGAGGAAATATAAAGAAATGAAATGTGCAGTGTTGGAGAACTTGACTATGGAGGGTCCAAGGTGTGTCACCCCATGATTTGTAAAACTTTCTTCTGTTTTCACTGATTAGTACATATTAATAAAACTTTTGTTTGATATTTTTAATAAATTATTGAAGAAATCACAACAAGTACATCAGACCATCAGACAGAAAGCACTAGCTTTCTATAGGAACATTCTCCAGATGTTCTTCTTGTCACTTTCTAAGTTTATGTCAGCTGTCAGAAAATTCCAGCAATGAAGTTATTATTTCTCTCGTCAACTTACTTCTTTATACTTTATCACTGTAGAACACTAGACGAATGAGTCATTTTAAGCATCTCAAGCTCTAGAATTTTCCAAATGGACCAATGATTATTTTTAAATTTACTTAAAATTCAGACTTACAAGGCAAACAGTATTTAGACAGTGTCATTGTATCTACTCGCTATCTGTGTGTGTGTGTGTGTGTGTGTGTGTGTGTGTGTGTGTGTGTGTCTGGTCTTTTGTTAAAATTTACTGAGTGTACACTGTGGGCAATAATAATGAGGTTGAAAATATATTTTCATTTGAACATGAAATTTCCACAGCTAACTGTGATCTTGTACCATTTTTACGTACTTCACAGCCTGTGTTCTAATTTTAACTTGGGATTCTGGTGTGTATATTCATATATAGCAATTCTTAAACCAACCTGTAACTGTAAGCCTATAGGGAATGACTGTGTTTGAACATCTGGACACAACACATGTTTGCAGTTGGAACTGAAACATCATTCACAGGACCTGGATTTTTAAAAAGGAAGATATTGCAATGGTATCCCATAGCTGTCAGATGATGAAGAATGCATTCTGAACATATGATTAGGGATTTATTGTTGCAAACAAGGTCATAAAATGGTATAAATGGCATTCTAAGCCAAAGCAGCTTACTAAGAAGTCTGCCATATGACCTTCCCTCATTTAACAAGAATATTTTGATTATAATCTGAGCAAATTAATGATAAATTGAATTACACAAGAACCTACGTTTATGACACATTAAGGAAAATGTCAATGGTGATTTACATTCCAATGAAGTAAGCAGTGTATTGGATAATATCAATCTTCAAACAGACCAAGCCAAGTTGTACTTAGTTCTGTAAACACATATGAAGAATTATGTGCTCTGAATGTAGGCACTAATGTAATCTTTTAATCATGACTAGGAATTGACCTTCACTCTATAATTGCCTAATGTTTAGTATGTTTTCTTATAATACTTAAAAGAGAGTATTGATCCCATCTTGTAGAAACTGAATTAACCTCTTTATCCGAACCCTATGGTTTGTATTTAAAATGTATGTATCTGCCAGCAGACACTAATTAATTGGTATCTGTTACCTTCTAAGCAGGACTTTAAAGCATTTACTATTTGCCTGTGCAGATTAAAGAAAAACACAGAGAGCTAATTTAAACAGAACTTTGGTGAAATGTCAGGAGCCCTTTAATCTAAGACACAAAGTTCACATTAGGGAAGACTCTTTAATCTCCACCTTTTCATACACTACAAAACAAACAATCTAACCTTTCTACATGTATGCATAATTAAGTACCATGTTAGCTATATTGTGATTAGGTAACATCCAAAGTAATGTGCACACTGATAGGTTTTCAGCAGTTTGCATGGATACTAGGAAGGTAAATGAATGGGTATTGTTTTCAAATGAGGATTGTTGCAATTTTTGACTTCACACATCTGTGTATGAATTATGGTCTGAAACCCCTATGTTCCATCGCTTGAAGTTTAGGTTAAGCTTGTAACAGGTGGTGAATAAAACATCTTTTTAGGAAAATGGTCCTTGGTACTAACTGCCTTCAATGTACTTAATTAAAATAACTCTTTCGAATCTATTTTGATTACCTTTTTAGAAAAAAATATACTTAAAGATAATAATACATTTTATAACTTTTCTTTTGATTTAATTAACTGATTTTTCTGTATCAGCACTCCTTGAAGCAGGTTGCACCTGTTACTGTATTTATAGTGATAGTTATATGTGCACATAGAAATAATATTATTTGGTAAAAAGAGCAGAGTCTGGATACTTTCCCAATGAAAGCATTTGACTATTTCAGTATCATGTATAATGACCTTAAAATGCTGAGTGTAGATAATTTCAAAATAAAGACTTTGCCATGATAATTTCCTCACTTATTCAGACTTTTGTGTTTTACTTTTAGTAGCTAAAATCAGTACACTTAATGTGTACCCAAACAATTCTTCTTATAGCCACACTTGACTCATCCCTACAGGCAGTGTAAGGAGTTCTCACTTTCCAGGTAGTTCCCTCACGAGAAGCATTTCTTTCTGAGGTCCCTCATTATTCTTTTGAGCTTGTTGCTTTTGAATTCCTGACTTGGAATGACGTCTACTCATGCCTCATTATCTTTGTCATAGGATTATGGATTTTAATTTTTACTTTCAGGGAGTAATTTCAGAATAACTGTCCATGATTCCAGTAAGACTCATGTGTTTTCTCCAGAACTAACAAAGTAAAATTGCTATAGCTTTACAAATCAAGAAACAGTCCAGTATAGTATTACCACATTAATAAAAAAGAATCTATTTCAACAAGTCATTTATAATCAATCAAGTATATTCATGTGTATGGTAAAGTTGAAATTTCTCTCAAACAACAAAGACATGGAGTCTTTAACTTGTAACTACTGACATTTAACTTTTAACTACTGCCATTGTTTAAACCAACTTAATCAATTTCTGCCTCAATAATATTTTTTGAGTAGTACTACTGAAATACAGCGTTGGCAAAAAGAGTGCAATCATAGATGTAGGATCTAACTTCACCACTTTGAAGTTTCAGACAAGTATCCAATGGGTGATGTGTTAGGTGGCATTGGAGCCAAATTTTTCCAAAGAATTTTGAAACTGGTAAGAATAAGGACATGTTCCAGCACAGTGGGCTTTCCTGACTAGGACTGTGAATAGAAAAGTGATTGCATTGCTTTGCATTTCTTTTCTTCTAAGTGAAATATTTGGGGACTTCAAGTTCTTGAAAATCACATTAGTTATGCATTAATTATACCCTGGGCATTTTAAAAAATTTTACAAAATTAGAAAAACTCAACAGTTTGGAAATTTAAAAGAAAATTAGCATGATAATGAATATTTACATCAAAAACTTCTTCATACTACGTTGATGTTTTGAAAAAAAAAACATAAAGTTGATGCATTTGTAACCTATCAGAGGAAAATACAACTATACTGTATAACTTTAAACTAATGTTGAAAATTTCAAAGAAAAACACTTGCCAGTTTGTTGAGCATATTTATTTCTTAAAAAGTAAAACTCACATCACTCATGTGAATCAAATAAGTACTAACATTAATAAACTCTCAAAAACATAATACATAAGTATGGTTTCCAATAAGAGAACTTCTGGAACTTTTTTAGGCAATATATAAATTTGGTAACTGCATTTTTAAATTTTGTAAATTAGTAAAAAGGCCATTCATTGTTTAAACTGATATTTGGCCAGGGGTATTTCATTCATACCTGAGATATGTAACTCTTCACACCTGTTTCCTGCTAGTAACCAAAGACAGAATAACAGAGTTGCCTGCATGTTTACTGAGGATATTCTGCCTTTTACAGTCTGAAAACTTCTCGGCACCTTCTTGTCATTCATTTTCTTCATATAAATGATTTTACACATTGACATATTTTCCATCAACTTTCTCTTGATTTTTTTTAATGCACCCTAGGCAAGACTCTCAGACGAATTCTTTGCATTCATACTAGCTACCCAACAGTACTACAAAAGTCATTGCAATAATAATTCTTCCCTCCTTTAATTTTCACATCCTTAGTCAATTGAGTATTTTACATACACTCCCTGTGGACTTAAACCTTTTGTAAGTGAAATTGGAAAATGAAATAAGTCATGCACAGGAACAAGATTCACAAGTCTTCCAATGAATTATGCATTTTTTGCATGCAAATGCTCCTATTTTCACAATACTCTACTGTACTCTGCCAGGATGTGTTTTAATCTTATGCTACATATTTTATTGTATGCCAAAGTTAAAGCCATTAACTGTCACTGTAAAGATTCTAGATTAGGAGCATATGAATATTTCACGGGGGAGAGTTTGGTTAGGAACAACATTTATACAAAGTAATCATGACATAAAAACATTAAACATATAAAATTATGAGAGATATATGTATCTGCATACAAATACATTCATATGAGGAAAGGGTCAAGGAAAATTGGCTTTAATTTACACACTTTTTAACCTTTGATTATATAAAGTAATATAATTATAATTCCAAGTTATTGGGGCCCTGAAGGGGACAACAGAATTCAATTCAAGCTACAAGTGATTAGCATTACAGAACACTCTTATCTAAACTGAGCAGACTAAAATTTCACAAACCTGTTGACAATGTTACTGCTATACTTCCTATAGACCTGTAGCACATTCTTAATATGTTTCTGTGATTACAGTTTTCCCAGCAATATCAGCAATACCGACTGACCTTGCTCAGGAGATTACTTTATTTAAAAAAATAATAATAATAATGACAGTTGAAAATGGATACAGTTACAAAACCAGAAGTCTTTTTATTTAAAAAGTGAGACTCAGTGATATCATGCAGCATATGAAACACAACACCTTGCGTTTTCTTTTAGCCTCAGACATTCACTTGTGTGTGCTACCTGTTAATTGTGTATGCATGAACTCTTGATAACACCTCTTCAGCAAAAGACTGTCTGTGAAGATGTTTCCGGATGAGAAATTACCTCTACATCATAATGATTTGATCAAACTCTACAACTTAGGTGTTTTACCATTGGTTCTTGCAAATTTCAAAAGTTAGAGGAGATGATCCCATTACTTATTAAACACATGCACAGTACACTGTTGTAGCCAGGAAAAGACTGTGGCTTATACAAATGATAGTGGACAATGCAGTCTATGTAGAAATAATAGACATTGTGATTTGCATTGCACATCACAGCATGAGTTCAGAGTCC